CAGTGGTTTCTTGGAAGTCGAATAAATACGTGGTCTTGTGTGGCTAGGGATGTTGGAAGGAAATGTCGAGGGCCAAGCAGTTGGGGTATTTGAGCCAAAGCGTGTGGTATGGTCGCTGCCGTTTGAGAATCGCAAGTTGTGCAAGCACGTCGATGCGAAGTTCATCGGTAGGATCTTGAAGTCGAAGCCAGCGCCGCACGGACGCCATCCAACCGATGAAGGTGGTTTCTTCCCAGACTCGTCGAGGCCAAGGATGCTTGCCATCGTGCTTGATGGCATTGCGTTGCGTCCAAGCTGAGTGGAGGACCGTGGCAGTCAGCAGCGACCATAGCTTGAACAATGCTTCCTTGTTGTTGGCATAGGCTGGGTTGACAGTGAAAGCGTCGATGTTCGTGATGGTAGCCCAGTCGAAACGAACGCCAAACCAACGCCAGGCGCGAGCATGGAACTGCCACGTCGGGAAAACTTCGTTGCAGGTGTGGAAAGCATGGTGTTCAGTTTCGACGGCGCCACATCCATACGTGCAGGTAATGGCCGAAGGGTCGATGGCTTGCTTGTACGAGAACCGGCTGTTGACGGGAAGCATACGCAGGACGAGTCGAAGCCAAACATCGCCTTGAACGGGGGTTGGTGCGTGGCACGTACGTCGAACAAAGCGCATGTACTTGGCCAAGTCTTCGGTGGATGTGCGGGCGGACGTCACCGCCGGGTGCGTGCTTGAAGCAGGTGGAGCATGGTACGCCAAGTCGAACAGCTTCTTCTTGGGCCATGCACAGTAGCTCTGGCATTGGTCCTTCACGTATCCAAAGAATGGATGCGCAGTGCGAACGAGGCCAGGCGAAAGCGCACCAGGTCGAAGATCGAAGTGACGCCGAACTTGCTCGTAGACTCGAGTGATGTGGAGGTAAATGGAGACGGCCCGCTCCATGGCACTGAATTCCATCCGATCCCGGGCTGCATTGAGACGGACGCGAGCATCTGGGCTTCCTTGGGACATGCGCGCAATGAACATGGCTTGGGTCGGCCAGGAGCCATCCGTGTTGAGGAAGTCCTTCAAGCTTCGCAGTCCATTGCTTGCGCCATGAAGACACCATCGACGAATGTTGGGCGCACTCGCAAGACACGCTGAGTACTTGGGACGACCGAAGTGCATCGGCTCGTACGAAGTCAACCACAATGGCAAGTTCATCACCGTGTTGAATGTCGGGGGAACTTCAATGCGCTTTGTCATGGAGACGGCCGACCATTGCTTCCATACATCACGCCACAAGGGATGCAGCTCGCGCAGTGCAATCCATTTTGAACTTGTGTTTGGGAAGTACAGCAGAAAATCGAACGGGTAGTCGTCGCGGTAGAGTTGGCCCATGACCCGGGCGAACTGTCGTTGGACCAGAGGGCGCCACGAAGGAGTGCCGTTGCTGCGGGAAGCCATGAGTTGTTGGACTCGCACAAGGCGCTGCTGTCGAATGATCGACGCGACGTGAGGAATACCAAGCCCAAGGGCCTTGTCGTGTTGGAGAGGTCGGTTGATGAAGGTACGGTACTTGTCAGTACGCAGGGTCTTCCTTCCGAGAATAAACTTGTTGGTCATCGACTGCATCTCGTCGACGATTGGTTGAGGGATGGGCACTGCAGCGGTAACATGCCATAGCATCGACAGAAGCATGGTGGACACCAGCAGCTTGCGGCCTTGTATCGTCCGTGCGCGGCCACCCCACAACGGAAACGCAGCGAGGAACTTGTCCCGGAGTGTTTGGGCTTGGAAGTCGGCCGTAAGACGATGGCCAAACAGCACACCCAGATACTTTGCCGGCCGGCCCGATGGGAGAATGTTGAGAAGGTCTTCGGCGTCGATGTCGGCGGGGTCGAGGTGGTCGTTCAGCACAAGTGTCATGCATTTTCGCTGGTTCAGACGCGCACCCGACACTGAGCAAAACGTGTCCACGATTTCCATTTGAGCCACCGCGGATGGTAAGGAGTTGGAGAGAAGCGTCGAGTCGTCAGCGAAGAAAATGCTTGTCTTGACGTCTTCATCGGGCAGTGGAATGCCGTGCTGGGGTTGTGCACGGAGCATTTCGCCCAGCGGCTCCAGGTAAAGCACAAACAGTAGGCAGGACAGTGGGCACCCTTGCTT